GGTGGTAGAAGTAACACCCTGCTTGACAAGGTAGTCGTCCTCTGAGGACGACGGGCGTTACCCATGTTGAATTCAGAGAAACAGCCTCAGAAGTATCATAACCCTTCCAGCAAAGAAGAAGCTCCAGAGTGCCATTCTGACGACGACGGTGTCCTAGCACGTAGTTGTCCCATGCTTAGAGTCATCCTGGACGAAAACGGGCGGCGACGGTGGTTGGCATTTGGTGTAGAGCGTGTATGATCTTGATAGGGTTTAAGAAGCTAGTATGGAAGGCGTTATGGATCCTCCAAGTGGCTGGTAGGCGGAAGCGGAAGTTGACAGAAGTGACCTTTGCTTCAACGATGATAGACCCGCAGAAGCAAGGTTGAAGCTTGGATGGAAGATGGCTGATGTCGATATTATGGTGTGGATAACTGTGGTGATGAGTTTCCAGGTGCTTCTGCTGCTGTTGGATGTCCAAGTGGCGTGTCCGGTGTTAGAGCTGATGGACAACAGTGATGAAATGGTAAGCCAGTTGGACTGTTGCAAGAACTATTTGTTGCTACAGAGCGAACAGGCTCCGTCCACAGCAAGGAAGGATGGTGTGTATCGCCGTCAGTGATATATGGGCAGGTGCAAGTCGTAGTTGGAGATTTGAGTAGTTGGAACAGTGTGCTGTAACGTGCAGATGAATGGCTATATTGTCCGAGCTGTGCATGCTGTTACCCACATCTGGTCCACGTATGAAGATCACCAAGTGTTGGTGGTATAGCAGTCGTGTCATAATACTGCTTCTGTTGCTGTGTTGTATCCGATACATGCAGCTTCTGTCGAATGTTGGTCCATGCCGTAGTGTTGTCGCGAGTCGTACCCACTCGGCATCGTAGTGCTGCGGGAATGGAGAGCAGAATCACTAGTAGTAACCCTGTCCACATCAACAAGCACCAGATGGTAGCGCTCGCGACGCGGTCCAGGGAGAGGGGCTGGCCCCCAGACGTCCAGGTGCATTGGCAGGGCGAACTGAGGAGGAGTTAGGAGCATGGCGCAGCCGGCCCTCGACGCAGGGCGTGCACGGCGGCACAGGCGAGGGAGGGAGAGCAGGGAGCGACGCAGGGAGGCCAAGGACTAGACCGTGCTGAGACATGTAACGCAGGCGGGGAAGCACGGGGTGACCTAGGCAGTGGTGCCACAACAGTGATGGGTGAGTGAGCGACCGACATGAGCAGGCCACAGCTACCTGGGTGGACGCAGAACCGGAAGACTCGCCCGCCGGGGGGGGAGAGGTGGCCAGCGTAAACAGGCCAGACACAGGTTCCCGGGGGAACGTCGCAAGGGGGGCACCTGAGGCGGCCTCGCAACAGACCGCGTACCGCTCGTGACAAGGGAATGAGTGGTGATGCTGAGGTCCAGAAGACAGCCGACACCAACTAAGTTCCTGGAGAACGAAGGGATGTGCAGGCCTGTAAGGGAACCCAAGGGAACCGCCGGACAGGGAAGGGTAGTGTAGCTGCGAGCAACTACAGGACCCGAGGAGGGGTCAGCAAGTGCGACAGCGGCAGGCGAAGCAAGCGGCGTGAGGGCGGCGTGGTCGCGGAAGAAACAGGCTGACACACTGGAGTCTAGAGTGAAGGACAGCGACGCTGTAGTGGCCGACGACGGAGGAGCAAGGGTAGAGCCTAGGCTAGACAAAGCAAGCTGTCCTACGCCTGATGCAGTAGGGGAGTCTGGACTACACACAGGTGCTATGCCTAAGCTAGAGAACACAGAGTAATACGATCCGGAAACACTCGAAGCGTCAGCTTACAGAGAATGCAAGGCAGAACTAATCTGATCCATGTCTAAGTCAAACATAGGCACACCGTGGCGCAGCAGGCTGGGCCAGTCAGGGAGGTCTGAGGCGGGACCAAAGCAGCGACGGAATAGGTCGTCGAGGCGGCGGAAGCAGCAGGCGGTGGGGTGCGAGTGGCGGCACACCGTGCCACGCAGGGGCCTGGTCTGAAGCTGGTACTGGCAGCTCACAGCACCGAAGATGCCGGTGGACGCCGAGCTGCGAGGGCCATCACCACGACCACCACCGCCAGGGGCTCCTGGCCACCCGGGCGGGAGACGAGCCCACGGGTGCTGTGGCTGCTCCTGCTGTTGCTGTAACGGCTGCTGTTGCTGTAACGGCTGCTGCTGCTGCGGCGGCTACGGCTGCGGCGACTACTGCTGCTCCTGGGCACCAGCACCAACCCCCTCGTCAGAACCACTGTCCCCGCCACCACCACCACTAGCGCCACCTCCACGTTCTCCCTTGGGGCCACGGCGGCCCCAGCGCTGGCGCTACTGCGGGTACGCCGCAGCTGCTGTCCCAGGTGCAGGCGCAGTCGTGGCAACTGCGGCAGAGACGTCAACGTACGTGCACTGGGAGGGGGCACAGCCTTGAAAGATAGGGACTGCCGCAACACCGCTCGACTGAGCGATGGTGCGCTAACGAGTCTCTATCTCAGGCAGAGTAGTGACAAAGGCGGTCAGGGTGAGGTCGGCAGGGTGCTGACTAAGGAAGTGGTCGCGGGCAGTGGCTAAGCGGTCAGGCAGGCGCATGGCGATGAGGTACAGGGTAGCGCACAAAGGTGGGGGGAAGGTTGTAAGCTGGGCGGCTGAGCTAGCAGTGCGGTAGCTGGTCTCTAGTGCACAGAGGTGAGTAGCGAGGTCAGCTACTGTGGGGAAGGCAGAAAGATCAGGGAAGAGCATGGGTAGGATCAAGCGGCCAGCAGAGGCAGAAGCAGGTGTGGAGTAACGCTTAACTCTTGCAGCGAGAAAGTCCTTGGCGTTCGCGACAGCGGTGAAGCACGGACGCTCAGACAGGGGGAGGGCATGGCTAATGGCAAGCTGGGCTATTGCGTCGCGAGAATCCCAGACAGCTCGAGCAAGCGCAGCAACAGCAAAAGCCTCGCTCTCAGCAGTAGTAGGGTCCGCAGGGAGGGGATCAGGCGCAGGGGGGTGGGGAAGCAAACCATCAACATGCATAGCCAAGGAGTGCCCATCTTGGCGCTGACTTGTCAGGTGCCGGCAGAGGTCAACGAGCCAGGCGGCGAAGTCGATCGCGTGCCCCTTAGCGTCCAAGCGAAGAACGGCATCCGCCATCGCACAGTGTGACAGCGGCTCAGCGGTGCAACGACTCGGCGGCTCGGCGGCGCGGCGGCTCGGGGACACGGCGGCACGGCGGCTCGATGGCTCGGCGGCACGGCGGCTCGGCGGCGCGGCGGCTTGGCGGCACGGCGGCACAGCGGCTCCGGGACACGGTGGCACGGCGGCTCGGTGGCGCAGGCGACGAGGCCGGCTAGGGCGCAAGGGGCCGGCTAGGGCACAAGGGGTCAGCTAAGGCGAGTGGGGGTGGCAAGGGCGCGTCTGGCCGGCTAGGGACGCGAGGGTCCAGTAGGTAGCGGCACGGGGCGGAAGCGGGTGGGTGGACCTACCTACTCGTGATAACCTAACTTCTGAGTGCCCAAGTCTCCAGAATTCCCATCGCAGATTCGAAAAAGGAGACAGATCCAAGTGCACGCCGTTTTATACTCGACCTGCCCCCGGGTCCCCCGTAGAAGAACATCAAGGCCAGGCAGACACTTTTCATTATATTTGCCCATCATCAAGCAACAAGGTGTTCTAAAGTATGACGAGTAAAAAAATCATTCAACGGGTATCTTCTACATACCACTCAACCGTAGTGTTTCAACAATATTTATCCTTCTCACCCCGGGTTACCAATGCCATCGGAGTCTCGTAGAACGACGTCGCTAGACGACGCGGAGATTGCCGTCAAAACCGACTCCGTCGCCAGCTACAGTTGCGGCGACGACAGACCCACGGATACGGGGTTTTATCAAAAGGGGCACGTTTTTTACCCATCCCCTTTGATGGCGTAGTCCCCGGAGGTTCGGCATTCGGGGGGCGGCAAGCGCTGGCGGGGCCCCTCCGACTGTTCCGCCCTAGGGGTCCCAGTCAGGGCTCTCGGTTCAAGGGTAAACATCCGGAATGTCAGGTACATCCCGGGTCTTTTCCTCTGAAATCCTGATTTTGAGGGTTTCTGACTCACAGACCTCCTGACTGATTCCGAGTGTTTCCAAGGAAATCCCTGAGCAATCCGGATTGCGCGAAAATTTATCCTGGCCATCCGACTAGCATGGAAACTACCCGTGCTGGAATTGCAACCCCCCCCCCCCCCCAATCCTTCGCAACCCTGACCAATTTTCCACGCAATCTGAAGGTGCGACCCGTGGAATTTTCACTACAGAAGTGCAGGGCTGTCAGACTATCACAACCCCTTAATATCACCTTAGCCATGTTGCGCACTGTCCCTCTAAGTTGTACGCATTTCTGTCGCGATTAAGGAAAGAGTCGAACTTGGTGTGGTGGTGAGGGACAGCAGCAGCAGCAAGCGTGTGTTCTGTATTCTTCTCCATCGTTTCTTCCATCGATGTCCTTCCTGCTTGTACTCGAAGTGCCCACAGGCTCCTCTGATATGTAGGGAGTGCCAAAAAACACTCTGAATTTCAGATTGAAGGTCTAAGTAAACCTGAAATAAAGAGATATTTCCCAGGGAATGCTGAATTTTCAGGATCTTTAGTGACGCGAATCCTGAGACCGCTGGGACTTGAAAAACGAAAAATTAGCCCTGGTCCCAGTCCGAAACACGAGGGCCTGGGCCTTGGGACTGCGGGGCAAACGCGCAGGACCTGAGAGATTTGGGAGTTCTATTCCCGGTGATTTGACCTTCCCGAACCAAGGTGACTGGGCCAGTGACACAAGCCGCGGAAGTTACGGAAAGCTCTGAGAGGACACGTTACGTACAGTACCAAGCTCTCTGGCTTGGTTCGCGGCACCGCACCAGCGCTTGGCTGTGAGGTTAGTGGATGGACCTCTGGGACACGGCAAAATAGGCAGTTACGAGGCACCACGCACACATACCCCACCCAACCGTGCAGCACCTGCCAGTGTCTATCTAGCCAGCGCCTGCCAAAGAACACCTGTGAGCAGATTTCATAAGCTCCCGACAGTAAGTGTGTCTCGCGTTTGCGCCTCTGCCATTCAAGATTTCCAAGAATTCCCAGTATACTGCTCATGGCTTCTCGTACTGCCTTCCTCCCCGTGCTGTTACTCCTAGCGGCTTCGTTACCAGCCATAGTAAAACCAGCGGAAGCTCAGATTTCAATTCCTGGAGTTAACCTTGGATCTGGCGGGATTTCGACCACGAATCCTGGCAGCGTGACTGCCGGCGGCACGCAGATATTCTCAAACGGAACTTTCCTCGGTAGCGACGGTCAGCAAATTACACCGACCGTAAACCCCGACGGATCTGCGACAGCCGGCGGTGTGACTGTCTACCCTAACGGAACCGTTACGAACTCTGACGGAACCGTCGTTACGCTTCCCGGCGGGGTGACCATCGGAACTGGCGGGTTGCAGACTCCAGGCGTGACTGTGAACCCTGACGGAACTGTCACCGTGAATGCACCGAAGCCCGCTGGTACGCACCGTCGCCGAAACTTGTTGTACGGAACACGGAGAATCCACGAAGATTTAGAACTTTATTATTTTGGATGATCATTTTTGGGGGAGCTGAGGTTCGCGTGTGCACTTAAATTGCGTGTACTAGTTTCTACGACTTACTCCTCGCGCCGTTTCCCTGCCCATAACAGGTTTTCTCGCGTCACCTGTCAGCGCTGCGACTGGTCTCGTCTCCCTGCTCTCCGCTCTGCTCTTCTTCGCATAGAGAAACAAAGAGCGAGGGAGGGTTTTGGCTACGTTGCATGCCCTGTATATAGACCACATTATACGTTGCACATATTAGTTACTGTTACTGTGCTGAATCGATTCCTACTGACCACTGCTGTTGCAGCTGGGCAGTCCATTCATCGGAAAAAACGGGGGTCAGGAAGGTGGGATTAAACGTAGGTTTTGTTGGAGTGGTTCCGCCACCCACGACGGACTACTCGTGACTTGGGGTGACGAGGAGAGACGTGCGGACTTGGGACGAGAAGGAACTAGGAAATGGGGAATATTGCGTGAGCGTGAAGTGTACGGAAAGGGGAGGAGCTGTAGAGAAGGTTTAGAAAAGATTGGTGGAAAGTAAGGAGAATGGTGGTTGAGTGGAAGAAAGGAATGGAAGTGGCGAGAAACAGATTGACGTGGGGCAAAAGTTGGGTTTCGGACGGGGCGTGTCCAACAAGCATTCGGACTTCGGACCAGCGGCGTGTTGAGCAAGAAAGTCGTCGTTGCGTGTGCGACTCGGCTTGACACGAGGCGCACGAGTTACTCGCAGCGCACACGGCAGTTACGAACCGCGTTTGTTGTAAGGAATTTTCCATTCCTTACCGAGCGGTACTGCTATCGCGTACGCTCGAACACACCCGAAGCCTCGGGACTGTTCCAGACCTTCTGACAGAACCGCCTCGGCTTCTCCAGACCTTTCGGTTCGACCTTCGGGAGTTCTCCGGGCCTCGCTTCGTCACTTCGAGACCCTTCGATCTCTTTCCCGAACCTTCCATCTCATGGTTAGACTAGCTCTGGTGTTCCTATATCTTGGCTTGCCATTCCTTGTATCGTCATTCATTGAGTGAACACTTCGTTATTCATTTCCGCGCTACTCTGCTTGTTCATTCATAACACCTGGTATTCAGAGCCACTTTCCTCGCTCATCCGTTTTCGTGAGTTGATTTTTTTTTTGGGGGGGTAGGTCCCTCACGTAAGCTGCAAAGCGGTTGCTCGCGAATTAGATTGATTAATTCGCCCAACTACGATAGCGTTTGCGCTTACCTGAGTACAGGCACACGACGGAATTCCCCCTGCCCCGACGGAGCATTCGCCAAATGGACCAAGCTCAGTTCAACGAGCTTCGGGAGCAGTTCAACGCCATGAACACGCGCATGGCTACAGTGCTGGAGGACAAAAAGCGACTTCGTGCGGAAGTTGCTGAGTTACGCCAGGCGCGAGAGGATTCGCGTCAGAAATCTGCCGCCCAAGAAGAAGTCGCCAGCACCGGACGTGTCGAAACCGTCTTGGACGAAATCGCACGTCAGGTGTCACAGGAGCGCAAGGACAGTGAAGCCGCCGCAGCAGCTGACATGGCAGCACGAGCAGCAGCCGAAGCAGCAGCAGCAGCGACAGCCGCAGCCGCTCGGTCAGAAGCAGCTGCTACTGTAGCCGTACCGGCGTTTATGCCGATCGTGACGACAGCGACAATCAAACCGACAATGCCACCCCCGTTCAACCTCACAGATAAGAATACTACTGTTACGGGCTGGTTATTTTCGGCGGAACTTTATTTTAACGCCGCTGGGATCACTGCTGACGATTTAAAAATTCGACTGGCTGTATCACTACTGCGGGGACCTGTGCTAGATTGGTGGCGATATACTCTACAGGAGGGGGAGTTTTCGGTAGGCGACACACAGGGGTTTTTCGGAAACTTTGGGTCTGCTGCCCAAGGGTCTACCGTGATTTTTGGATCGACCAAGATTCGCACGTGGAAGGCGTGGGGTACAGCTCTGCGTGAACGTTTTGAGCCAATATCCGCCTCGGACAACGCACGCACGAAGCTGGACAACTGGCGCCAGTGGAGTTCTGTCCAAGATTACGCGTCGGACTTCATGGCGTTATGCGATCAAATCACCGACATGCATGACTCCGAGAAGAAAGCTCGATTAATCTCGGGCTTGAAGCAGGACATTAAATGCGAGGTCCGACTGCGACTGCCGGCGACGTTTCACGGCGTAGTGGCTAAGGAGCACATGGATGATTTTCGCAAGGGACAATGTTTCAACTGCCACCAGCCGGGTCACCAATCTCACAATTACCCCCGAAAGAAGCAGATAAAGAAGAACGACGAGGACAGGTCGGGAAACGCCAAGCGTCAGTAGCGGTCGGGCCCCCTACTGACCCTGCCTCATCGCCCGAAAAACATCATCCCCACCGAGTAGTGGTTCCGATACATGCTATCAACCGCTCCCGGCTGAAAAAGGAGGATGACCCAGTGGACCACCCTGTACTGGCGGAAGGACGACTTCATGGAAGAAAAATAAAAATATTCATCGACGGAGGTGCGAGTCACAGCCTGATAAATCGAGAGACAGCACGACGACTACACCTGACGCTGGAGCGGTGTCTACCCGAAATCGACGCCCGATTGGTGGACGGCACCCCGCTGGCGATACGCGACAAAGTACCCGTCGTTCGAATGAAGTGCGGCGACGATTTTGGTTTCAGCGCGCCGATGTTGGCGACAACACTCGACAGCTACGACGTGCTATTGGGACGCGATTGGCTGCGAAGATTCAACCCGCAGATCGATTGGACAACAGTCGAGTGCACAGTGAAGTGCGACAAAGGTTGGCGAAAATTACCCACGTGGCCGGAAGCAGAGACAACATCGACACGAGTCAACGCGGTGTGCCTCAATCGAGCGGTCAAGAATGGAGCGGATTTATACGCCGTCCATCTAACCGAATCGACGGAGCAGAATGAGGCGAAAGACATCAACAAACTCTACGCCTCTGTCCCGGATGACTTGGCGAAAATCATTCGAGAATATCCTGAGATTTTCCCGGACGACTTGCCAAGTGGACTGCCACCCGAACGACCCAAGGACCACAAGATCGAGCCGGAGCCCGGCGCGCAACCTACTGTACGAACACAATGGCGCCTGACTCAGCCGGAGCTACAGGAACTACGGAACCAGTTGGACTACCTGTTGGCGAAAGGGTTCATTCGGCCGAGCACCAATTCTATTCACGCCAAAAAAGGACGGCGGCCTTCGCATGTGTACAGATTATCGTACCCTTAATCGGGTAACGATAAAATCGCGCTACCCAATCCCACGAACGGACGAACTGATCGACAACCTTCGCGGAGCTCGCTACTTTTCGAAGATCGACCTTCGTGGCGGTTACCATCAAATTCGGGTGTTCGCTGACGACTGCCACAAGACCGCGTTTCGTACTCGCTATGGGAGTTACGAATACACGGTGATGCCGTTTGGATTAACGAACGCCCCCTCGACGTTCCAACTCACCATGAACGGGGTGTTCCGCGATCTACTCGACAAATGCGTAATAATTTACCTGGACGACATCTTGATCTACAGCAAGACCCGAGAGCAGCATTTAAAAGATTTGGAAGCGGTTTTTCAGCGGTTGCAGCAGCATCGACTCATCACCAAGGGCTCCAAGTGCGAGTTTTTAAAACAAGAACTGGAGTTCCTGGGGCACGTGATCTCCACGGAAGGGATTCGAATAGACCCAAAAAAACTCAGGGCTACTCAGGAGTGGAAACCACCCACAAATCTGCAGCAGCTGCAATCATTTTTGGGTTTCGTGAATTACGTGCGGCGGTTTATACCCAACATGGCGGGGTTAACTGGACCTCTAACCGACCTACTGCAGAAGGGGACTTTTTACGAGTGGGGGGAGAAGCAGCAAGCTGCGTTCGAGGCATTAAAAAATCTTTTAATGTCGCCACCGGTACTTCGCATCGCTGACCCGGAACGGCCCTTCGAAGTCAACACCGACGCAAGTGACATCGCCATTGGAGCAGTGCTCATGCAAGATTTCGGCAACGGGCTTCAACCAATCGCGTACGAGTCTCGGAAAATGCAATCTGCTGAGCGCAACTACCCGGTACACGGCAAGGAGATGCTGGCGATCGTCCACGCGTTCAAAATCTGGAGGTGCTACCTGACTAGAGCAGACGTGACGGTGCGAACCGATCACAAATCACTACAGTACCTGCGGGCGCAACCGAATCTAAACCTGCGGCAGATACGCTGGCTGGACTATCTGGAGTCCAATTTCACGTACAAGATCACGTACAAAAAAGGCGCCAACAATATTGCCGACGCCCTTTCCAGACCATCTGCCCAACTCGCTGTAGTACTAGTCGCCCAGAGCAACCCGCTACTGAGTGGACTATTTACCCACGGGTATTCGACTGACCCCTTCTTCGTAAATGACGGCCATCTCCCAATCACTACAGGGAAAGGCGTCTATTACTTACGAAGCGGGACTGATCGAATTTGGGTCCCAAGTTATCGTCTACTTCGCGAATTACTAATTCAAGAAGTCCACGATTCGAATTTATCGGCACATTTCGGGGTTGATAAAACTCTGAAGGCATTGCAGCGGTTTTATTACTGGCCAGATATGGTGACGGACGTGCAGCGTTACGTGGCCGCGTGTCCGATATGCCAGCAAATGAAATCCTCACACCAGCGACCTACAGGACTGTTGCAGCCCCTTAAGCCACCTCAACGCCCATGGCAACACGTAACGATGGATTTCGTTACGGGACTACCGGCCGGACCCAGAGGAAACGACGCGGTTTTGGTTGTCGTCGACCGATTGACAAAAATGGCGCATTTCGCACCATGTCGTACAACCATCACAGCCGAAGAAACAGCGCGCCTGCTCATCTCGACCATTGTTCGTCTACACGGGATACCAGCAGCAATCATTAGTGATCGAGATCCGAAGTTTACGTCAAAATTCTGGCAGGACACGTGGGCTCGTTACGGCACGCGTCTACAGTTCTCATCCGCTTATTATCCCCAAACGGACGGCCAGACGGAAAGGACGCATCAAACAATGGAGCAGCTCATTCGGACAAACTGCCCCGACCAAAAAAAATGGGAGGACGTGCTGCCCATGTTGGAATTTTCCTACAACAACGCGCCCTCATCTACGACTAATCACTCCTCGTTTTACCTCAATTACGGGATGGACCCTACAGTGCCGATCTCCACCAACGTTGAGAGTCAAGTACCACGATCGCAGCAGTTCGTCGAAGAATTGCAGACTGCCCGAGACAAAGCTGTCGAACTTATTCGCAAGGCGAACGCAATTGCCCGACGGTATGCGGATTTACATCGACGGGATATTACGATGACGACAGGGCAACTAGTCCTTTTGGACACCAAGAATTTACGACTGCCACTACCGACGAAATTACGACCACGTTTCTGTGGCCCGTTCAAGATCGTGAAGATGGTGACGCTGGTGACCGCTCAACTGCGCCTACCTGATGACTGGCGAATTCACAACAAATTCCATGTGAGTCTGTTGCGACTCTTCGTTCCTGACACGTCGGACATCGCTCGACAGCGATTGGTCCCCGACGTACG